GCGTTAGATGAAAGAATTTGCTCGTCGCATTGTTTTTTCTCTCTACATCTCTTTTTTTTTCACTCACTCGTTTCGCTCATTTTCGTGGCTGTCAGCAGATAAAAAGAATCTTTTGCGTAAAATATTGCGTTCCATCCGTTCACGGTGTGCAATGGCTTTTGAACAAATCGAGTTAGACACATCAAACGCAACGAACGACTGGGAGATTGTTCGGAATGAAAATCCGCAGTAGTGGCGCTACGAAATGAATAGAATGAGCAAGAGAAAAGGAATTGAAAACAATGTGTTGCAGTGCAACAACATTTATGCTGGTTTTGCAGCGCTCAAATGAATGAATGAACGAAGCAAACAAAAGTTAGAGTTGTTGGGGCGTGCATAATATGTGCGAAGTCGATATGCGCTCAACGATCCACACACACACACACACGTACATTTATAGATGGACGGTGCACAAAGAAAGCGGCGACTCAGTCGGTGATGAATTACCGACAAAATGAAATGACAGCCATACACAGACTTTATTTAATTGACCTCGCAGTTTATTACTTGTGTTTGTTTTCGATTGCGATATTGCATAAGAGCAAACGAACGAGATGGAGAACAAAACAACGAACGCATCGACAGCCAACGAGAGCAAAGAACACCGAATTTCAATGGGAAATAGATGAAGAAAGCGAAACGGACAACAACAAAAAGCTTTTTACCATTTTAATAGTGCATTGTGTTTTTCTCTTCTCTCAGGCCTTTTGTCAATGGATAGTCACTTACATTCAACGAACGAGATTGAAATTCCGAAATTCAATTCACTGTCAAGAGTTCAAAAATAGAATTTGCATCATAAATATCCAGTGAATTCTCTGATGAACCATTCACCTGGAACATTTTTGGGTTGTGGACAAGCTGCTCCATTCGTTCGCGTTGTTAGTATCGATCTCGTTGCTGATGATCATGAATATCATTTGATACATCCGCCAAATCAATAAATTACCCAAATAAATAATTTTGCATTCTAGAACAAATTCCGGTGACCGAAAAATATCAGTGAAATATTTACAATTTATTAAATACCTAAAACGCTTTTGTTTGCACACCGAATAAACCGAGAGCATATTTTCTATTCATTGAATTTATGTTTTGTGTTTTTCCGCTAGCACACACGATCGAAATGAAATTACATTTTCCATATTGGTTTGGCCATCCACAAAATCCATTTGGTTTCCATGTAACCAAATTGAATTTGCAATGCGAACGCAGAGAGAGAGAGAGAGAGGCTCATTATTACAAATGTTCAATGTCGAGAAATTTCATTTTTAGTTCCAACAACGTCCATTTGTTTTTGTTTTTATTTCGCCGTTCGATTCTCTCACGTTGAATTTCATCAAAAATTCACTGATGACCTTTTCACATACATCAGCTCTGCGTGATTCGATGATTATATCATAGTTATTTTGCCGTCATAATGCACACAAGCACAAATGACTGTTCGTCCGATAAATAAAGAAAAAAAAAACCATAAACTATGTGAAAATTGCTTTCTGTCTGTCTCTGGCAATTTCATTTTCTTCTAATTTTCTCACGAGGCGCGAAATCTTTTAATTGCCGAAAATGAAAATGTATAACGAATTTGTGTGCACGTCCACCCAAAAACATACGATAAATCACAGCGTGGATTGTGTCTTTTGAATTCACCTACAGTTTATTCGTTTGTTTTTTTAATTCAAACCACACCTTTCAATATCTACAGCTTTTCTCTATTTGTTTACTGTCGAAACAAAAAGCGACGTGTGTTTTCATGTGCCAAAGAAACAAGCGTTTGCTCATTGCGGTGCGGTCGGTGAGTTTGAGTCAGTAGTGAGCGAATTTCAGTTCCAAAGCCAACTGAAACAAGCGGTTGCAATATTTCAAAACAATAGAGCATTTTTAATCTTATCGCTGGATGTTATCTTGATATTATTAGTCGGCAAATTGTGTATTGTGATAACCGTTCGCTTGGTATTTATTCGTTGTGAATTCCAGTGTTTAAGTTTTGGAACGAATATAGAGAAGAAAAACTGGGAGAGAGAGATTATTCAACGCATTTTTTTTTTTTGATTGAATCGCAAGCGGCCCTTTGCGTCGATCATATCTTCGCATTCGAACTTGGGCAGAGTGTTTGAGTGATTCGAAGGCAACTTAGTTTTCAGTTTCACTCAATCACATCCAAACGATACAAGTGTTTTGTGAACTGTTGTCATCCGAAAAATCGATTTCATCATAGTGAATTCCAACACAGTGTGCGACATTTTCAGTGCAAATCAATTGCCATCTAATCAAAAATTCAAGCCATAATTTAATCAAGCAAAAGGTCATCAATTCGTTTCGGAACGCAAGTTCATTCATCTGAAATAGTTGTGCTTTATTAATGAATGACAGCAGCAGCAACAACAGCACCGTGAGCGTAGTATATCGTGAAGCTGCATTTGACAAGTAGCAAAAAGCAAATGTCAAGTGTAATCATTCCATGACTCAATCAAATAGCATTTAAACTGGATGAACAATTGCAAACTGAAGCAAAGCATTTTCAATTAAAATCACACTCAATTTAGATGTAACGCAACCGATTCACCTCATTCCAAATTCATCGACTTCATTTTATTGGTTCGGATAAAACATGCAATTACAACGTGCGCTTGAATATACATATTTTCGTCATAAAAGTGTCTAATGAAACAATAAGCACGCATCGAAAACAAACGAAAAATCCAAGCTCCGCGTTTAAACTACCAACAAAAGACGAGAGAAAAAAACAAAACAGTCAGCCATACATGCGACATGCAATCAAATAGGTTAATGGAACACAGTGGAATGAGAAAACTTTGGAATGAGACAATTTAACGTCGACAATAAAATTAAACAATAAATAGTTTGGGCACTTGGTGTGCGCGTATATTTCGTTGTTATTCAATTTCGTCGGTGTTTCGTCTATTCAATGCATAAATAATCATTCAACATTGAGAGAAGTCTTCATTCACACAACGTCATTCAATTTTTTTTTTTTTTTTTTGTTAATTATTATTTATACATACACAGAGAGAAGACAAGAATAACAACATTTGCATTTTAATTCGCAAATGGGCATTCAAATGAATTGCTGTTGAAAATTGAAAAGAACACGCAAATCAATTTACAGAACAGACATAAACTAAGATTACTTGGAATCAAATTGTGAAAAATTAAGCAAAAAAAAAAAATGTTTAATGTGAAATTTAAAGTAAAAGATGGTCGAAATTCATTGCCAAGGCCATCATCGCGCTCATCACAACGTTCATCATCACCATCGAGCACACGAACGCAACGTTCACGTTCGGCTGATCGCACGAAAATTACGAAAATCTCGAAAAATGGCAAAGTAATCACCACCGTTGTCGACGGCCGAGTGACATATGGTAAATTGCACACACCGTTTTCCGTTTTACATGTATTATATCAACGCAGGCCTTTGAATACAGCATGCGCATTGCCGTCACAATCGCAAATTAAAGTGTCTTTTTACTCGACGTAAACAATATATAATAACGTTAATTGAATTCACATTTTGAGTTTACGGGGCTGATTTGATGTGATTTGCCCGGTCGCCATGTGTATGTGGGTGTGCAATGATGCGCTCCGGCAGTCAAACGACGAAACAACGTGAAATATGATGCTGCTGCTCAAATTGTGTGTGTGTGTGTGTAACAGTCGGGTCTTTGGTTATTTAATAGGATATAAAATCATGCGATTTATCCCATTTGATTGCTAATTTCGACGTGTATTCGACAATTTTAATAGCTATTACATTACATATGGGGAGTGAATTTATTTCAAGGCTTCCGTCAGAAACAGAGAGAACGAGACCGAACGACGTGAAAATGTAATACGTTGTAATTATGGGAAAAATTGGATAATAAAACTTTGTAGCAAAAATTCAACAGAATTTGTGAAAAGCATGCTATCGCTGGAGAAAAAAAAGTATTTTGATCCAATGAACAAAATACGATGTTTGTGATATGAAAAGGAACCAGTTCCACAAACCGTAAACAAACGTAACAATATTTCGCTTTTAGTTGGAGTGTGTGCTGAGCGCGTTTTTTTTGTTTTTGTATGTCAATGCTATTTACGTTCGTGGATTTTTATTCAAATGCCGCTAATAGCGTATAAATCATATGACATTACGAAAACGAGTTCAGCGGTTTTGTTCTGATGTCACCCGTTAAATTTATTTTCGTTCAATACTAATGTCCGATAATTGGATACGAGAACTTTACTCTCCGGTTGAAGAGTGAACAGAAAAAAAATAAGCGAACTAGAATTTAATTAGCTGTATCTCGTTGACGAGATGCAATTTTTGGAAGCCAAATTCGGTAATGTGGCTTTTGACCAGCATGAAACACCTCGCAAAATGCAACCAAGTGCAGTATTTGGTGCTTCAATTACGTGCCACCACATCAACTACATCGCCGATTACCGAACGATATACGCATACCTATCTAAATGATATTACCATTTACATGTGCAAACATTTTGTGCAGCATGCAGGCTCACTCATGGTTAGCCGTTTTTTTCTCTTCTTTCGTTTTCGTTTTCATTTCGCAGACACCATTTTTACCTTATTTTCCATCTAATGACATGATCAAACGACAGCATTTCATTTTAATTAAAGAAGTTTTGTGAAATCGCACACCACCAATTGACCCAATTACATGGTGGATACAACTCGAGAGAAGCTATTAAAATGAATAAGTAAATGTTTACAAACGGTCCCATGTTCGTTGTCCATCGCATTTGAATTTTGAATTATTTGCCATCGGTTGTACACACACTGACACTCACTCATTCACACACACACAAACACACGCTACGACTGGAGCAAGTTTGACATCTCCAACAAAACACAATTTATGCCAAGTTAACATGTGCTCGCAAGTGCTGAGAAAATCTAATAAAGTGGTTGCATTTCATTTTCCTCTTTTTTTCCACCGCAGATGCATTGGATGGTTTGACGGAGCTGCGAACGGAGAACTATGAAATTCACATTGAACGAACGTCGGCCGGATTGGGTTTGAGCATTGCTGGTGGTAAGGGATCGACACCGTACAAAGGAAACGATGAAGGTATTTTCATATCGAGAGTTACCGAAGGCGGACCAGCCGATTTGGCCGGATTGAAAATCGGCGACAAAGTGCTGAAAGTGAATGGAGTTTCAGTTATCACAGCCGATCACTATCATGCGGTGGATATATTGAAAGCTTGTGGATCGGTACTGGTGTTGGTTGTACAACGTGAAGTAACTCGTTTAGTTGGTCATCCAGTGTTCACACAAGACGGTTCAGTGGCACAGATTGCGATTTCAAATCGACCGATCAATGCTGCTGAAACCGTGCACACCGTTCCAATTCAACAAACCGAGCAAATCATCCATACAAGCGCAAAATCAATACCATCACCCATTCAAATTCACAGCGAACAACAACAACAGCAACATCAACTATCCGAACATTTATCCACACCGCATTCCAACGGAATCACGGAAAACGGAAGGGTAATTTACAGCATATTTTAAATACATGGAAAAAAACTTTATTTTCCATACGCTTTATTAAAATTGCATGACTACGAATTTCACTTTCGACATATTTTCTACAAACAAACTCACTAAAATATTGACGTCACTCTCTCTTTCTTTTCCTCTGAATCATTCCAAAATTTGTTCCGATTTTTCATTCATTCTCTCTTTTCCTCTCTCTCTCTCTCTCGTTTTACTCGCTACTGCAGGGAATCTCACACAAAATAACGTTGCACACAACGTTGATAAGGGATCAAATCGGTCAAGGTTTAGGTTTCAGCATTGCTGGTGGTAAAGGCTCACCACCATTTAAAGATGGATCCGATGGCATTTATATATCTCGCATTACCGAAGGCGGACTTGCGCATAGAGATGGAAAAATTTTAGTTGGCGACAAAGTACTGGTGGTATGTTATTATAAGGCTGAGTTTTTTTTTTTTTATTCTTTGCAGCAGATAAAATTCTGCGTTTGCAATGCTGCAAACAATGCATAATTATAACGAGGCCATGGAGCGCAATTCATTCGATGTTTCCATAGATACATTTATAATGTGTGGTATTTTGTTATTACAATTTCTCATTAGATAAATGGTGTTGATATGGCGAATGGTACACATGAATCGGCCGTACAATTGCTAACCGATCATCAGCGTTTCGTGCGTTTGGTTGTTCAGCGTGAAGTGCAGGGACCATTGGAGCCACCCAGTCCGCACAGTCCATCGTATTTGAAGGGTTTAAGCCCATCTGGTTATATGGCCAATCGGCCAGGGTACAAGCGTCCGAGCTTTTCAAATTTCATTGAATCACCCACTGCCGAATCGGTAAAAACGGTCATTTCGAACACAACATCACCGGTCGTGCCACAACAATACACATCAATTACACAAAGTCCAAGTACACCGACCAGTGGCAAAACAAATGGCATTGGCAGCGGAGCATCACAACCGGTGCCAGCACCAAGACGACTCACATCACAAAGCTCGGTCGGATCGGGTATCAATGGACAATCAAATGTTGCCGCCTCACAAAATGGCAATCGCTCCGAAGACGACGATGTACAGGTAAATTTCGCAATTTGTGCTGCCCATCACCAATTACCTTTTGATGCATTAAGAGATCACATTTTTTTTTTGTTCTTCGCTCATTATTATAATCAACCGTTAATTAATGAACTGGCAGCTTAGAGCCTTTCTAATCAACGCTAATCTAATCTTTATAATTGACTGAGGATTTAAATCCATTTATACATAAACACGCTTCGAGTAATGTGTGTAGACGCAGAGTGATAAATATGCCAGATGCGAGTGGGAAGTGGCAGGTAGGTATTTTACCGCATGATACAAATGGATTAACAGGTAATTATGAGGAGATTCAAATCTTCAGTCAATGAATTTTCGCGGTTAATGAAAATGTGATCTCTTTGATTTATTTGATGCGCTCATATGCTCAGCTTTCGATTCGATTTGATGCCAATTTGAATGCCATTTGAATTTATAGCGGAAAAATTTCCATTCGAAAATGAAAATTCATGATTTGCTTTGACACCGCATTTAAATTATTACACGTACAGCCAATTCAAATCGGCATCGATCACTTCGGGGCTTGTAAATGTGGGTGCTATTTATATCGTTCATATTTATTTCTTGTATCGTCCGAATTCATCTCTTTATTTGTGGCTAACAATCAACTCGACCATTTTTCAAAAATTCGACAAATTCCAATTTTTTCGCCCTCTCAATTTTCCATTTTTTTTGCTCTCATCAAAACAAAAAACAAAAATCCGTGGATTTTCATGCGTAACCGTGTAGAGTGCTAGATCAAAATAAATTTTCCATTGCACAGAGCTACTATATATTTCGTATTATTATTATTCATATATTTTGTGTTGTGATTTTCACTTATGTTGTCGAAACGGTATTTTCATCGGTGGCTATATATCATACACCATCCTCACATATTTATGCATAACTTCTCTACCTCTCACTCTCTGTCTGTTTTCAATACCTTCAATTTATATATTTCTCTTCACATTCTCATTTTCCGGTGTTTGACGCGTTTCCATTTTTGCCGCGCCTGCAAAACGCATAAATTGTATTCGCTCACTTTTGTGCCAGATAAAAGTCAATTTGATACACAAACACATGCCATGATGCACGCATGTATAATTGCTTTCGAATTAAATTGGGACCGCCTCAATTCATGCATTTTCACATTGCAATTTTCATTTAAATTTTTGTATGAATCTTTTAAAATGCAGTGGTTGTTTTCACTCCAGGTTGATTTCAAGCTGGGAAAATATTATTCGAAGCAGAACATTTTTTCAGTTAAATTATTAAAGGGATTTTTGAGTATAGAAACCAACAAAATTAATCATAAAATAGTTTCAGGTCCTGACATTCAGGAATAGTTATGCCAGGGAAACAAAGAGATATATTTTATAGAAAAATTTAACCATAAAACCACAGATGCGACACTAACAAATGGGTAATAGACGCTTTAGCCATAGGCACACGTGTAGTTGAAAGGAAATCATATACCTGCCCGAAAACACTAAAAAAAAAAACAAACAGTTCAATCCACAAACAAATCCTTGTTCACATTTGAACTTTGGCTTTTATAACTCTCCTGCTAGCAATCGGACACACATATACACAATGAAAATAAAAAACCAATTCTCCTCTCAAATCTGTATCAAAACTCTGTTCGCACACATTGAAATCTCTAGATTCATTCACACTTAAAAATACACACAACCGAGCTGTGGCTTACGAGCCACATCGGTGCAAAATCAAAAAAAACCTCTTCGCAACAGCCAGAATTGACAAAAACCAATGACCAAAAAATACTCTATGTATGACCCATTATTTATAGGCACCAACGCAACGACCATTAACAAGTGAAGATTTTCAAGCCATGATACCGGCGCATTTCTTAAGCGGCGGCCAACCCGACTACATCTTTGAAACGCATGAACAAGGGCCATCGGTCACGGTCACAGTAAAGAAAGGTGTTCCAGACATGCCAATGTTGCCGCCAGCACCAACTGAATTGGGCAAAGTCACTGAAACGATAACCAAATCAACGTTCACTGAAACGGTTATGACACGTGTCACTGACAATCATTTGGGCGAAGCTCTGATTAGTGAGGTGAATATTAGACGCTAGATGGAATAGCGTGCACACATTCTGTCTCTCTCTCTATCTTTCTCCACATATTTTTTTCAAAAACAAACGAATGATTACAAAATCATCATCAACAACAGCAACAACTACAATGCAAAGAGCGACTCGACATTCTCTCACACTCTAAATGTACAAAGATAAAAAAAATTAAATTCTAACGAAAAAGAATGTTTAAAAAAAAAAAAAGATTATCAAAGAACAAGTAATCGGAAATGATGTCGTTATTGCTCTTTCAATTAGTGTTTTATTGCATTTTATGGTTCTTTTATGTGTTTACCAATCTTATTGTAACTCTTTTTTCTCTCTGTGGTTTTCTCTTATTATTTTTGCACTCTTATTTTTTGTTGTTGTTACGCTATTTTTCAAATCGTAGCGTTTTTTTAAGTTTACCTCTAGATTTAAGTACTGTAAATGTTTTTTAGTTTTTTTTTTCATTTTTTTCCAATGTTTAATTTGCTTGAAGTTTTAGTTATTCTGACCGTTTGTTTTTTTTGGTTCATTTTAATTTTCTGTTCGGTTGGTCTTTAGTTAAATGTTTAAGAAATATTGTTACTTTTGATTCGTTACAATTTTGGTTGGATAATCATTTATTTTAAGTTAAAAGCTAAGAGCTTAGAAATTAAGTTGAAAAAAGTTTCACGTTGTTATCAACGAAAGCTATTAATGACTCAACCCACTCACTCACATTCGCGATGATTCAATGGCGTTGGGACATACATACGTACAACAGCTGTTTTCAGCATAAATGACTCAGATTTAATGTGTGTGCACAATACAGAAGGCTCTCGAATAAGTGAAGCACGAGTCTCGCTGCCATAACGAGCTGAACATCCTTGAACTTGAAACTTCAAACTCTTCCTCGCTCGCATTTCAACTCGTTAATAATCCATTAGTTTTGATGTGCTGCAGCTTCGTCATAAAATTTTATTCGCCCGTTTGTTCCGTTTTCGGCACAAAAAAAATCGACGAGCGAGCAGAAAATATCGAATCAACTGTTCAGCGCATTGAATTTTTCAATACCTGGCCGAGTGCTTCAAAAATGGTACAAGTCTCAAGAGCCTCTCCTGCTACCGTTGCTGCTACTGCTCCATTATTATCAACAAAATTCGTTGAACAAATAAAATGCTGAAAAATGACTCCCACGAAGAATGTGTAATATCAAATAACAATTGAGAATGAGCCAGTTGTACGGCGCGCAAGAAAAACCATTCGATCGCCACAAGCCGATATAAGCCACAATATATTTCAATTGCTGTCTGAACATTTAATTTAGAAATTCGATTTGCTCATGAACAAAAGTCGGGAATGTTCAAGTTTTCATTTTAAATAGTGTTCCATAAGGAGAGCTCCTTCACAACAGGAACAGCAGCAATATAAATAGAATTCTATCTGTGGTAGCATCGAGTTTCTACTTTAATTCGCACACACTTCCTATCCGATTTGTTTTACAAACTTCTATCAATTTTCTAATTAGATAAAAAGACATTAAACTTTTAATTACACACATTTTCCGAGCAAATCATTGTTTCGCTTGTTTTATACATGTACAAAAACTATGCGATGGAATGCTGATTTAATGAGCGTATGTCGGGTGCTTTCGATATATTCGAATATAAATCAATATGAAGTGTACAAATATTTCTAATGGATGAAGTTAATCGATGCGGCCGAATTACACGAAATTAGTCAGTTTAATCACGTTGCTATCGAAATGCCGTCGCCGAACGCACGCGCACGCATTGAATTGATCGGAATTTATGATTTATACTGTCTGTCGCTGAAACAGAAGAAGACGATCGGCGGCTATGAGTACCGATTGGAGCCAATTAAATTGTTTACCAGTTCATTTTGAATGATTGTGCGAAATAAGCCATTGGGAATCGTCGGCAGGCTGTTTGTAGTTTGAACAAGAGAGTCAGACACTTGAAACCTTCGAAACGGATTGATTTCGGAGAATGTGAAATAAACAAAAACATGTTGCAGACAGTGAAACACATTGAAGATGAGAAAAAAAACATATTTTACGTCGATGTCGGCGGGAATAATACCAACCATGCATTTAGTAGATAAAAAATAGAATGAAATTTTCATATGTTGTGAAAGGGCCAACTGCGAATCGAAATGATGAATGTGAGTTCGATTTGAAATCAGCTAAAAGTCGGCAAGCTTTAACGCACCATGCCAATTTTGTATACATTTTTGCGTTCGTCCCACAGTTATCCTCGAGATTATTAAATGCTGATTTTGCGAATTCCATATGTTATTCCATTTGCTGGGAAAAGTTCATATAGAGCAGAGAGACTCTGTATAGCAATTTATAGATTTCGGAAACAGATTTCGAATTTCGAGGTCTCTCTCTCTCTCTCTCTCTCTCTATCGCTCGTTCATATAACATACAGGCTTCGGTTAGATCCTTGACTCGGCTATAAGTTCAGTTCTTTAGTTTGAAAACTCACATAGACATACGATGTATAAACCATCGGCAGCATCTGTATCATGTAGTCTTAATACGGTTCGGTTAGGGTGTTAGACCATTAATTTAACTGAACTGGAGAGATGTAATCCAACCAAAGTTCATGGAGATGGTTTGTCTCTGGATGTTCGTTGTTTTTCTTTCTTCTTTTTCCTTTTTTTTTGGTTTTGCTTCATTGGTTGATTTTGCTTCTTCTTCTTATTTTTGTTTATTCCTCACACTGTTTTTCATTTATCACCCCATATAGACACAAACACAAACATAGATAAATCGCACAATTCATTTTCTCATTCACTTATTTTCTCTCATTTCTTCCCATCGTACAAACACATTCATTTACAAATATACACAAATCACACGGACATATCCACCAAAGTTTTTATCGTTTTATATTTTACTTTTATATATTACGTATTTTGCTTGATTTTTTTTTCGGTATAATGGAAAATTTTTGTTTTATGTAGCTTCGCTTATCTGCTGTTTGCACACTTGTCTTTTCTGTTTGCCTCATTTCACACTATTTGTGTGCAATTGTGCATTCCGCTTTTTTACTCCATCTCTCTCTATCTCCCACACTCAATGTAGCTCATTTTCTGTTGTGTGTTGTATTTTGTTTCTCTTTTTTTGCAGTCATCAAAGTTTCATTGAAATTAATTTGGTTTGTTTTTTTCTCTCTCTCTCAATTTTGCTCTGTGTTTTTGCAGGAAGTCATCCTTCCGAAGAATAAAGGATCGCTCGGCTTCAGCATCATTGGCGGCACTGACCATTCTTGTGTGCCATTCGGTGCAAATGAACCAGGCATTTTCATATCACATGTAAGTACACATATTGCTCTCCGGAACAATACAAGTGCATTGGACGCATCGAATTCCTTGGAGAAAAATTGTTGCTCTCGTTTTCGAAGTGAGTTTTCGGAAAATTGATTCTTTTGAATGGACCAAACAAACCACCAATGGAAAAGTATGCCATTTGGAAATTTTCATGATTTTTTTTTTCGCTCGTCATTTGTTATTCGGATGCCATTCAACAACAATATTGGGACAATGTTCCAATGAAACATAGAAAATTGTGCAGCTACATTTTCGATGAAACGGGCAATTTCACTTTCGGTAAATGCACATCACCAAGGTATAGCAAAAGATTACCGTTATCAGCCATTTCAATTTCTTGCTATTCAATTCGATGGAGATTAACTTGTCTTTGGTAATTTCATTTTGCGATTCGAAAAAGTTTTCCATTAAATTGAGGTGGCGCGCATGAGCAAGCGTGCTTCGAAGAGTATATCGCAGTCACTTGTTTATGCTCCGGCAAAAAGTAATTCATTTGACATAACTTTGTGTTGATTTAAATTGTTCTAACTTCTCCATTTGTGTTGAGATTAATGCGACGTAACTGAACAAGAGCCCCAACAAAAGCCAATTTCAATACAAAAGCTAAGACACTCCAATTTAAACTGCGAGACAGAGGGACAACAGCAACAATTTTTCCCAAAGTAAAACTTTACAAATTCCGAATGCGAATGCATTTCCTCTTCACCAACGAGAGAGTCTATATACCCATTGCATTTCGTGATTCCATTTGTACTTTTATCCACCTCAACTCGTTAGTTTCATTTCGAATTTAATACTAAACTCAATCTTTTATTTTTCCACCCGCTCCCCTTCCGCTGCTTCATCCAATGCCGCAAACTACTTTTAGGTCGTTCCTGGTGGCATAGCTGCAAATTGTGGTAAACTGCGAATGGGAGATAGAATATTGAAAGTAAATGGCACCGACGTTACGGCAGCAACACATCAAGAGGCTGTTATGGAACTTTTACGACCTGGTGATGAAATAAAATTAACAATTCAACATGATCCACTTCCGGTCGGTTTCCAAGTAAGTACACTCCGAGCATGGAGCGAAGATGCGCGCGGCGCCCGTCTCAAATTTTTCGTTGGGGTCGTCTTTTTTGTGTTTATATACATTTTAATTCATTGCACATCGAGCAATTTTTGTTTTTTGTTTTGTTTTCTGGTGAGCGAGTGTTGGTCTCATCTCTTCTCCACTGTTTCTCTTTCTCTTTTCGCTCTTGCATTCCTGTCTTAGAGAGCATCTCCGTTTCGGCCGCTTTGCGATCACAATTTTTTCCTCTCTGTGCTTTTGTTCTTTACTGCCGCTGCTTACTTCAAATGAAAAGTACGCGGAACTCCGAAAAAACGTCAAGTGCATAAATAAATTATTTTAAAAAGGTGCTAGTGATTCCAACCTATGCTTTTGGCCGGCGCAAGATAGCGGTGGCGCCTAAATAAGATGTATTAGCAATTTGCGGCATTTTTAAGAACTATCAATACTTTTTGTTGTTGTCACGAATTTTTGCAACAACAAGAAGTATTGATAGTTCCTAAATTTGCCGCAGATTCTATTTAGGCACCACCGCTATTCACTGTCACGTCAAATACATTGTTTCTTATGGCAGAGAAGCACACGTTGAGTGATTCTTAAGTTTTTTTTTCTCTTTTCATTTGTTAAAAGTCTCCGTGAACTTTGCGCTGTATTGCGATGCTAAATACAATGCACAGCTCTTTCATTATGCTCTCTCTTCTGTTATGCTATACGATTAGTCAGGCTTTCGCTTGTTGGCCCGTCAGACGACGAAATTACAACTTAATTTTCCCATTTATAATTTTCACTTTTCCTCTTGAGCTTTTCACCCCTTCTCTAGCTCATACTCAACATTCACTTTCCCTTTTCAGTTTTCACCACAATCTCAAGATTTCTCTTGCATTTAATTCCGTGAAACCAAATACCTGCCACCATTGACACACATTAGACCGCTTATTTTTATTATTATACACATATATAGAATTAACCCGCATTTTTCTAACGCAATTCCGCGCTAGGCAAACATTTTTAAATCACATTACATTGAAACAAGAATATTCTATTTTTTTCTTTCTTTTTTCTTCTTTTTTTCGTCTTCTTCTCTCTCTTCTACATATACATACATATATGAATTCGAACACGTTTGTTCATTTTTCTCTCACTCTGCCCGTTCACTAAATTAAACTAAAAAAAGCTTTTCGAAATAGAAAACTTAAAAACAGAGGTACGTAAACGGTGGCTAAATTACACAAATCATCGTGAATGCATTTGGTCTAGTTTTCCATTCTGTTTCCTTTCGTCTTGAGTTTTCAATAGCGTTCGTTCCTCACCTTGTTGTGAAGCCATTTCTTTTCTCTCTTTCTCTCTCTCTCTCTCTCTCTCTCTCACTCTCTTTTTCTTTTAAGTTTGTTTTTTACTTTAGCGTATGCGTGCGTGTATTTGTGTTGGTGTGTGTGTATATGCGAGAGTGCGATTCGAACTCTTGGTTTATTTTTCCTTCTTTTGTTCGTGTTTAAGTGTGCGATTTCACTCTCATTCGTTTTTTTTCTCCTTTCTAATTTAAAATTAAAAGAGCAGACATGAAAATAGAGTGAACTGAAGCGTATCATTTGCGATGCAATTAGGTGAATCAGTTCGTAGTAATGCTATTTGCCCTTCGCATTTTGGTACAATATTTTTCTATTATCTCACGTCGCATGCATTTTTCAAATACGCTTGCTTGGTTCGTTCTTTTTTTGCTCCTGTTTTTTTTTTGGACTTTCTCGTCTTTCGTTCGGTTTTGCTTCCATTGTGTGTGTCTGTTTTTTTTATCGCTGCTTGAACCGATTTCGAAAACTTTTAGCCTTTCAAACGTGTGTGAACTTACTTATTTTTCTATGTCGACTCGCAACCCGTGTTCTTTCACATTTTTTCTCTTCTCCAAAATCGTGTATTTTTGTGTGTGTCTTTTTCTCTCTCTTTCAACTTTTGAATTGTAGTGCATGCAAATTTCTGAAACCCAACCACATTAATGTTTCAATTGCTTTTCCCTTCTATTCCTCTACCATCATCCATGACATCATTTTGTGTACGCGTCCCTCATAGAACATTCTGCTGGTGAAAACAGAGAACGAACGGCTGGGAATGCATATCAAAGGTGGTTTGAATGGTCAACGAGGCAATCCACTCGATCCAGCTGACGAAGGTGTGTTCGTGTCAAAAATCAATTCGAGCGGTGCAGCACGACGTGATGGACGACTAAAGGTATGTGCAATCCATCAAATTCGGTTGGTTTCGATCGATTTCTCGCCACACACACACACACACAAAATTGTGGTGGTGGGCACACCGACATAACGGAATCATCACGAAATTTATGGAACGAACAAATCGAAGTTTAGCGATCGAAAGCAGAAAAAAACGACAACAGAAATGAAAAATTATCATTTGAAATTGAATTACAGGTTGGTATGCGTATATTGGAGGTTAATGGAACTTCGTTGCTCGGTGCTACCCATCAGGAAGCTGTGAATGCATTGCGTGAAGCTGGCAACGAAATCCGTATAATCGTGTGCAAAGGCTACGACAAATCGAGTTTGATCCATTCAATTGGAAGTGCGGGTGGCATGAGCACCGGTTTTAACAGCTCAACCAATCGCCTCGGCTCAAGAGCATCGGAAACAGGCTCCGATTTTAGCCAAAGTGTATCAAGTTTAGATCGAGATGATGGTGCCATTGATGAGTCTTTGCCCATTGCATCGGTAGGCATAATTTTTTGTTCCGACTAATTGCTTTTTTTGACGATGTGTCTGTGTTTGGTTCGCATCTGATGTGAACTAAGTGAAAGATTAAAAATTAATCAAACTGGATTGGTTCGTGACTTCTATATGTTTTTTCGAATTGATTTTTTTCTGTGTTCTTTACAGACAAATGACGTTTTCGAAAGCAGCAAAGACGAAGCACACATTCACACACCTGAGCCACACAGCGAGTCAAATGTTGAACGAGTTTCCGAAACATCGCAAGATGTTGCGCTGTTAAACTCGGAACAAACATTAGTCAGCACGAAGGAAAAGAGCACAAAAGATAAGGTGAGTGTGGCAATCTCGTCGCAGCAGCAGCAGCACATGGGAAAATTAATTCATCCGAAAAAGGATCAAGTCGTCAAGCTGTGACAAATTTTTTAAATTTTACAAAATGAAATCGTCTACGAAGAGAAGAGTTGTATTTATTTCCATTTGATTTTTTTTCTGCAGGTTCTGGACATTGTTCGTGCCGCCGAGTCATTAGCCTTAGGAACACATTTGTCAGATAGCAATGCGAATGCTGAGCTCGTTGTCAGTCATCCACCAAAATCGCCCGTCGAGCACGAAGATAAAATGCATAAAACGACGACGATTGTGATGTCGGCGCATACACTAGACACACAGCCACAGGTATGTGCCGCACCATTTTCCCTCGATTCCCATATTTTGAATTGAGAGCATCTAATACCACTATCCACACCCACCTGAATGTTGTTCAATTTCTCGATAATGTAATCTCATTTGTAATCACTCATACATTTTCATATATATATACGTGTTTTGTATGTTTGTACATGGAGTCAGTATTTCGGAACCACACCGAAATCGACCAAATTTTGTTATGTTTTTTTTTTCGTGCATTTCAACCACAGCGACTTTGTTGCTGCTTTCGTTGTGTCTTCCATTTTTAATGAATGTCATCAAATAATTCACAATTCATAGATTAGGTTTTTGTGTTGTCACACCGTTTAGTAATCTACATTTTATACATACTATATTACATATATACCCGTTAGCATTTCGATTCACATTTGTTAGATTCAATCCATATAATAATAATGGAAATTCCCGGGGACACACATGTGTTTCAGCCAAACGCTGTTGCACATCGTAGCACCACCGTCCGTTTTTATTATTCATTATCCATGTTTTGTGTGTGTGCTATGCATTCAATTGATCATTAACACCATTCCATGCACCATTTGAAACTAGGAATAAAATTTGCATTTTAAATTCTCGAATGCGACGACTAAAAAGAGGGAGAAAGAATAGTTAGAGAGAGAGAGAGAGAACATAAGACTAAAACAGTTGCATGGTACAGTCTCTCTCATTTTCTCTCCTCTCTATCTGAATATATCTAATGATAATCGATAAAACCACACGCATATCGTATGTGTACACTTAACTCCGTCTGTTGCAAGAGCTACCAATAGCAATGGCCATCTCTATTATCTGCCATTCAGGGATTAATTCGATTAAAAAATTAAGCGAACATGTGCCTCTATCTGTGAGATTGAAATCGGAGCATTTAAAACGCATTCACATACATAATACCGTTTGAACCATACATCTACATATAGAGATTATATAGTGGGCTGGTAGCGCACGAAAAGTCTACCGAAAATGTGTCGCCACAAGAAAATTACATTTTGTGGCTTACAGAAACATACGGTGGGCATGAAAACATACATATGTACACACGCTTAGGCGCGCACTTTTCACCAGACACAATAAATTCCCGATTTATTAGCGCGGTCACACAAATTGTGAAATGATGTTTCAGTGTATATGCAACATGCTGAACTGGCGGCCAAAAAGCAACAAGTAGTCCCAATGTATATATTCTCAACACTTTACAGACCCGTTTCGTACTTTCCATGTATTTTTTTTTCGCTCGTATGCATCCACCTTTTTTGCATAACATCGTCTGCATTTTTTTTGGTCGGCAATTTTTCCATTCCACTTTGCCACTCATAATGTGATAAGACGTGTTGTAATGAATTTATCATTAGTGCCAAAATGAGACCGCCCAAAAAAGATCGTCCAGGCCACTGCCAAATGAATGCCAAATTATTTTTTGATGACTAATTACCGCTGACAAATCATTCAATTTGCAACCAAACCTCATTCAGCTTTCACAGAGAGCTCAACAAACCAAAAAACTCATTCACACAAATTGAAATAAATTGCCTTTCGAGGACGAAATCTATTTGCGCAATTATACCGAAATTGCTATCGTTTAGAGCGATTTTTCCTGAATGAGACTTGTTGTTCTGACTCCCATTGCAAGTTTCTGTTTGGAAATATTCTAAGCTTGTTATTTCGAATCGTTCATGATTTCATAAAATGTTCAACTCAAAAACGACTTGAAATGTGTTGGAGGCGATGGAGTGTTAATAGAGAGGATTTTCATCGTATTACCGAATCAAATTCTAAACTCAATGCTGGCAAAAGTTTCATCTGATTTTAAAGTTAAGCGTGCGTTCATCATTGTCTAGATATGGAAATGAAGTTGATTAACATCGTTTTATGTAACTTCGTGAGGTCGAGTTAGTTCAGCGTACTGCGCTGCAATGCAATTGCATGCCGGAAAAAATGAAAACTTTTTTGCTCTACATAATGCAAATCTATCTATCTCTTCACAATAAACTTTTGTTTGAAGATCAATTTACGAAAAATGCTAATTTCATTGACGTGTGGAGAAGAGAGTCAGTTGAGGTTGAAGAGTTAGTTGCAGTAGAAGATAGTTTATATTTTGACAACGACATTGATTCAATAGCTCAAACTGCAGACGACTTTGCATACATATGGCAGTATAATATGGTGTTATACATACATTATCATATTGCAAGAACAACACTGCGCGCAAAACGGCTATTTTCATAGCATCACAATGTAAAAACAACATATTTGTTTAATGGTAGCTGTAATATGCATGGAATAATAAAACTAAAACCGCAGTTCACCATAGAATAGATACACACAAAAAGTTGTACATCATCGTACACGTTACGATGAGTTCCTCTCTCATCACTCTCACACACACGGGAGGCAAAATTCCGGGATGCGCTCCACCTCCTTCAACCCGTTGTCTATCTTATGAACAATACATAAAATGCAAAGTGATGATTGCGAATAAATTTGAATGAAAGTTAAATGACATTCAATTTACATGAAATCATAATTCGGTGAGTAAGCGCGCGCGTGTGTGTGTATATATGCTGTTCTCCTGCGGCAACCATGCATTCATCACGAATATTCATCGCTTTTAAACGCACCACATCCATCATTATAGAATCGTATGCGTACAGATTGCAATAGCAAAGCTGCGGATAAACGGGCTGGTGAACACATTTGAGACACAGTAGAATATTCTCAGCGGTCGTAATTCGCGGAAGTTTTTTTAACTTAATTTTCTCGGGCGAAACACTTCCAAATAAAAGCTAACTTGTATTTTTTTCTTAAATCGTTGCCCGAATATTGAGCAAAGTGAGATCATTTGTACACATTCCATTGTGTTACACCGAGCAGCTGCCACTAAAATATGTGTTTTTTTCGCAGCTTTCGCCTCGTTCTTGCGTCGAAAGCCGTAATAAACAAAATTCCCGAATAATTTATGCGTTGTAAAAAACACGACGCTTGCAAATTAAAATCACACATGCAACCCGTTTGCTTGCGATGTAAAACGTAAATTCAACGGAACCCAATGAAAATTATCGCATTCGCACGTCAACATTAGTCTCTCGGTGCGTCACTGGTACCCACCACCGCCGCCGACACCATCACCATCGTGGTGTTCTTCGCATTTACCATGTGGATATGCATGCGATTCACTATTTCATTTTAAAATGTTCAAGTATTTATGTGAATTAATTATTTATACATTTTAAATTAAACTTTAGAAGTGCAAGTTTCCATAAAGTTGAACATAAATTTCGCTTTCCTTTATGTACCGTTTTCGTCGTTGCTGTTGCTGCTTTTCTCCTCCACTACTTTTAGTTGCTCTTTCTCATTTCATTTTTTTCGTTTTGCTCTGTGTATGTGTTTGTTCGAAGAAATCATTGCACGTTAGTGAACAAATTATATTTTGTATAGAAAAAGAAAGCAGCTTACACTTCATGTTGCACGATACTTAACGGAAATTAAGCATTTATACAATGAATCAACCAATTTAACCTGCAGACGAAAATTAAATCCCTTTAAGTCGATACAATCACGACAGCAAAAAGCGTATACACTTTTACCATTAGCTCTTCTAAATTGAATTTCAATTACCGGTTATTATCGGAAGCTTCCAATAATTGGATGAGCATCGGATTTTAATCAAATAAAGTCTTAAAAGGCGTAAGCACAGCTCGAAAATCAATGGACCAAATTTTAAGTTGGATGCAAAGTTTTTGGCACAAACTTAAGTGTAAAGATGTATCGAAAATAATCACATTATCGGATGTTGTCATATGCCGCTTTCGCATAAATAGTCAATATTTGTTTAGATTGAATTTGTTGGTCTCAACTTAAAGTCCTCAAGTCAAGTCAAGTCAAGTCAATCTCTATTGCTTGTTTTCAGTCTCATGCGACCATGATTGCCATAAAATCCTTTCATTAGTAACACTTGTTGTTCTCAAGCAGATCGCTTTATGTCACTCCATAATTGAATGTGAATCAATTCTATCGATTTCATCTTTATGAGATATGTAACAGAAAATTTACATTCCCACTCGATCGATGGTTGTGTTCTGATATATTCATATCAGTTTCGTAGGTATTTTGCCCGATAATTCCTTTGTAAAAAAATAATAATCATGATGATCTTTTATGAAATCAATCATTGATATCTGTTCCATATAGTGAATACGTGTCTTGTGGTGGAGCGTGTAAAATTTGAAAGAGTTGAGTTGACTGAAAGCGAATTGTTTTCCAAGTTTGTGTTTGCTAATGTCATTGGCAGAATATGTAGTTGTCATCCACCACAAACAAACAAGACCCAATTTTTGTGCTAACTGACAGTCGCTCAACAATCTCAACCGCATCCTCTCGCTGTGGTTGTGTGCAATGTGCATGTCTCGCACACTGATCGGATATGAAAATAGTTACAACTCGTTAGAATGCGCTTGACTTTCAACACACACTTCACCACATCATAATATGTGAACGAGAGAGAGAGACAGATAGATGGAGCATATATTTCACATGAACTCTCTCGAGCTTTTAGTTGATTCGCCAGGTCGTCAGGTTATGTGCATACTGCGCAACAAATTCACTTGTACATTCGATTATTTTGCCGTTTCCCTAAACAACCTACATGTACATCATTTTCCCATGTAAAATATTTTATAAAGTGTTTTGATATTATGCTATTCCTGATGTTATCATTTCTCTTGTTTTTTTTTTATTTTATTTTTTGTGTAAATGTGTCAACATTTTCAGTTCAAAAGTTCATATCTCCATAGTCGTACAGTAAGAATAAAATATGTCGTTGTGTTATATCCTGAAATGAATCCAAAATGATACACACACTCAGTGTGTGTGTGTGTCACACACATTTTTTTGTTTTTTGAGTTTAGAACAAAAAAAAAATTTGACAATAATGATTTCTCGGTTAGAAAGTCTAGTTCGCATTATGTAACTGA